ATGTACTATTATCGTACATTATCATACTGTTATTAGCGGTATTTTGTGATTGTTGATGAAGTATAAGTAAATGGACATTAGTAAACCAGGCTGTTTGCAACTGTTTAGATATAGGGAAGGAAGACGAGGAGGAAGAAGAAGAAGAATCAGTATTCACAAGAGATCACGTTTATCTTCATACCCAGGACGCGGACAGGAATGTGTTTTAAGATATTGTGTAATAGAACTTCTATGCAACAAATGAAGTGTAAAACGTCTTGATAATTTTGTGGTCGTCAAGCCAACATGCAATCTCCCAAAGGACATTTAAACTGATATGCAATGTCGTTTTTTTTCCCCCAAACACTAGTTGACGGAGAAGAGTTACTGCGTATGATTACGTTAAATTTAGTGTTAAATTTAGTATGATACATATCGTATATTTCTGTGTATAAGACGACCTTAAATCCCATAAAATCACCCTTAAAAATCGGGGTCGTCTTATACTATAATTCTAAAAAAAGAAACCTTAAATTCATAGGGATGTCGGATTGTCGGAAAGCTAAGCTCAGCCCCGGGGCGATAAAAATAAAATAAACTGATAATAAAAGTTATAAAATTATTTCTACCTTCTATATTACTGGCATAATTTCATAATAAATTGCCTATTCGAAGAATAATTCCATATCAATAAAATCAACTTGTATCAATGCAAGCCCAGCTTAGAAAATGTAAACATCGAGTTATGATTGCGAATGAAAAAAATGTTGAAAGTGGAACGTACTATTATCGTACTGTTATTATTGATATTTTGTGATTGTCGATAAAGTATAAATAAATGGCCATTATACACCAAACTGTTTGTCACTGTTTAGATATAGGAAAAGAAGAAGAGTATTCACAAGAGATCACGTGATGAAATATAGACAAAACAATGGTTTTCTTTTTAGGGGACGTGTATAGGAAAAACAAGATATAGAATCGGGTTTTGTTATTTCGCTTAATTGAATTTTTAAAGATATACTAAGTAACAACATTTACAATCACATCATCTTTATATAATCAATAAGCAGTCGTTTTATACTACAGGTATAGGATAAATTCATGATAATTTGCTATAGTTTTTAACTCGTCTTATCTAAAGGTCGCCTTCTACGCGGAAATACACGGTACTATATAAAATCCAAGAGCCCTAGAGAGATGAAAAGCCTGAAGTGTTGTTGAATAAAGGACACAAAATTAAGGAAATACGCAAGAATTATTAATTCTACAATCATAAGAGAAAGAGATTACTCACCGACAAAAGAAATTGCAAGAACGGAGAGAAGAAAAAGAGAATGCATATTTGCCAAATCTGACGCTGGGATTAAACACGTGGAACAATCTGTGAGAGAAAACTTTTTACAGCTTTATAAAAACCAGCTTGATTGGCTTATCGCTTGGTGCTTTGTCAGGGGTTCGATCCTTTCGTTATCATTTTGTATGAACCGGATATCTATGCACGTGCGAATCGACATACAGTCGGCTAGTCGTGCAGATACCGATTACGTTATCGCGTACCCACCCACCATTGTGTTTAATAAGCTTGTTTCGCTAGACATTACGACTACAGGGAAGTCGACTCTGACTAGGCCAGGCCTAGTAAATAATATGGGCGCATCGGTATTTAACAAGACAGTTTCATTGCAGCAGAGAGTTTTGTCCGCACTAAGTGGTTTGCATTTTTGATCTTGTTCCATCGTAAATTAAGTTCACTAGAATCAGGAAGAGAGTAGAAATTTCTAGGACACATAACGCGGAAAGAGGGCTTGGAAATTTTGATACTCACGAGACAGGATAAATAGAGGGGAAACGGCTTGTGTAAATGGATGGTATAGTAAAAAAAAAAAATACAAACATTGTTAAGAGCAACAAATAGGAAGTTGTGGAGAGCCATGATCATTTAGGTTCTGACGGAACATGTCACATAAAAGAAGATGATGCGTCTAAGGAACGTGGAGATTTTTTAAAAAAAAGAGAGAGAACTGGAAAGAAATTCATATTTAAAATTAGAAAAAGTCCATGTCTGGGACACGTTTACCCCAGGCCGACAAAAAACACAAACAACTTGTCTAATTTTTTTTTTTACAGTAAGGTTCACCCGGGAGTCACTCGGGGTAGAGTGTTACGTTAAGAGGCAGTTTATACGGATAGGAGATACGGATGGGATATAACGGTTAACCAAGTTAAGATTGTAGGGATCGGGGAAACATCCTTTTCGGAGTCAGTTCCATATATCAATAGTTCGTGGAATTAAGCTGTTCAAGTGGAACTAATTTCTTGCTGACATAATGCGGAAGGAATATGGGTGGTTTGCTACAATATAAGTTATGAGGAAGGACGGTTTGGAAAATTTAATGCTCACAGGATGTTTTGAGGGAAAGAGAGGTAGTGGGAAGCAGTGAATAGCTTTACTAATAAGTTTGTATGAATGGCAGGGAAATGTTGCATGAAACAAGGGATAGAAAGTTGTGACACGGAATATAAATGATGATGATGATGGTGATAATGGTGATAAGTGATGGTGATGATGATGATGATGATGATAGTGATGATGGCGATAAGTGATGATGACGATGATGATGGTGATGGTGGTGATGGCGATAAGTGATAATGGTGGTGGTGATGATGGCGATAAGTGATGATGATGATCATGGTGATGGTGGTGATGATAGTGATAAGTGATGATGATGGTGATGGTGGTGATGATGGCGATAAGTAATGATGATGATGGTGGTGGTGATGATGGTGATAATTGATGATGATGATAATGGTGGTGATGATTGCGATAAGTAATGATGATGATGGTGATGGTGGTGAGGATTGTGATAAGTGATGATGATGGTGGTGATGATGGCGATAAGTGATGATGATGATGATGATGGTGATGGTGGGGATGATGGCGATAAGTGATGGTGATTATGGTGTGGGTGGTGATGATGGCGATAAGTGATGATGATGGTGATGGTGATGGTGGGGATGATGGCGATAAGTGATGATGATTATGGTGCGGGTGGTGATGATGGCGATAAGTAATGATGATGGTGATGGTGGTGATGATGGCGATAAGTGATGATGATGATGCTGGTGATGATGATGGCGATAAGTGTTGATGCTAGTGATGGTGGTGATGACGGCGATGTGATGATGATGATGGTGATGGTGGTGATGATGGTGATAAGTGTTGATGATGATGATGGTAATGGTGGTGATGATGGTGATAAGTGATGATGATTATAGTGTGGGTGATGATGATGGTGATAAGTGATGATGGTGATGGTGGTGATGATGGTAATAAGTGATGATGATGCTAGTGATGGTGGTGATGGTGGTGATGATGGCGATAAGTGTTGATGATGGTGATGGTGGTGATGATGGGAATAAGTTATGATGATGATGGTGGTGGTGATGATGGTGATAAGTGATGATGGTGGTGGTGCGGATGATGATGATGATGATGATATTTTGATACTCACAGGACAGACTGAAAAGCAAAAGAGCCAGAGTAAAAACAGCGCCTAACCTACCCAGCGAGCTTGTGTAAATGGATGGCGGAAAAAGTGTTTTGGATAATTGACAAACAGACAAAATTTATTAAGAAATACAAAGCAGGGGAAGTTGTGGAGAGCCATGATCGCCAGTGTCCTGAAGTGACCCGGCTTATAGAAGCAGGAGAAAAAGAAGAAGAAGAGGTTTGTCTAAGTTTGAGGTTACATACGGGCATATACAATCAGACCTTTTCTAATATCTAGGAAGCGTTTTAACAGAAGATGAAAAATGTGGCGCCGAAATCCGAACTCGCATTTCGTTAGCGAAAGAAGCATTTCAAAAGCTAAGCAAGATGCTGAGAAACGGACAAATTTCGTTAGAAACAAAGAATATCTGTCTATATTTCTGAGATAATGTATCATGCCATACTTAGCTAAATTGAATAAATATTCAAGAACCTCATTGTAGAGCAACGATTAGTATGCTAGTTTTGTTACTAATCTTCACGCTATACAAGGCCCAAGAGCCACTCAAGGTAGGGCGTTACTGAATGAATTTAATTTTTGAGCAATAAGCCCAAGAGGTAAGAGTCGCAATTTATGAGGATACATTAGAAAGATAACGATTAACCATCACGAGTTGAGCCTTAGTGTAGACTTGACAATATTATTCAGTCTAAAAGCATCTTCCGCGTCCTTGTGGGTAATGAATTATTTTCACCCTACAACCATTTCCCCGCAGACAAAACGCTGCAAGCCCCTCGCTGCTCTATCGCTAATTCCATGGAAAGTGTTCAGACGAACTACCTTCCTTACTTCCACGTGTTCTAACCTTCACGGCTAAGACCGGCCATGCCACGCATTTTGTAGCTAACCACACTTATTCCCTTCCTATTCCATTAGTGAGATGTAAGTTCCACTCGAGCAGCTTCTTTCTACGGACTGCTGCTTTGTGGAACCAAATCCCAAGGGGATGCTTTTCCGACTCCTACAATCTTAACCTATTCAAGTCTAGGGTTAACCGTTATGTTCCCGGCATATTTCCATAAACTGTGCTTCTTACTCGGCAAGCCTCTACCTCGCGTAGCTCTTTGACTTGCACAGGTTTAACATCAGTATAAAAAAAAATATATACCTTAGTTCCACGAGTTCTAATCTTCACGGCTTAGACCCGCCATATCACGCATATTGTAGCTAACTGCCCTCATTCCGTTCATATTCCATTAGTGAGATGTAAGTTCCACTCGAGCAGTTTCCTTCCCACGAACTGCTGCTCTGTGGAACCGATTTCCAAGAGGATGCTTCCCTAACCACTACAATTTTTAACCTGCTTAAAGAGAGATTACATTTTTTACATCTAGAATTTTAAAATTCTTATTATTTTTTGTTACTAATCTTTACCCTAAACAAGGCTCATGAGCCAACTCTAGGTAGATGAACCGTTATCTTTTCCACATATCCCCATAAACTGTCTTCTGGCTTAGCGCTACATCGCGTTGATACACTAATTCCCATGCAATCACCGAAGTTAAGCAACATTGAACCTGGTCAGTACCTAGATGGGTGACCGTTTGGCAATACCAGGTGTTGTAAGCTTGGATCTGCGAGTGATGTAATGGATGATAACTCGGAATTGTTAGTCGGCGATCCGAGTTTCAATTTCGTTATATTCACTTATGCACAAATACGAAAGGTATGAATCCACATCTTCTCTCCTCCCCAGCTATGGGTTAATTAGTAAGACTTGTATCATTAAACCATTATTATCTCTCCGCCCCACACCAAATTCTTACAATCTAGAAATATTTTCTGGTTTTAAATAACCTGCAAAGGGTTGATAAGGCGTAAAAAACGAATCAATCAATCAATTCTGTACACCTCTACTCGAGTGTCTCGTGAACATCATTGTAAAAATAAAGTTACCCGATTCATTTTATTTTTTGGTAATACCTTTAACTACAACTCACTGTTTACATAGAGAAATACAAAATCAGTCTTTTAGTATTATATTTGACAGCTCTTCGACCCGCTGTGTCAAACTTTGTGTTGTATAGGGATAAAGTGTCGTTGCCGATACTGGAGTTTGAACACAGATCACAGCAAACACAAGTGATTCCATTTCTAATAAGTGTACCATGTGATCGTAAAGGAAAGCTATCTATGGGAATTAGCGTGGCGTCTAAGTGATCACGATTCTCTATACTATTTCTCTATACTGAACACTCTACGGATTACTATTAGTCGGTTACTATTCGAACAAGTATTACTAGTGCGAGTATTATTTGAAGGAGTTACTACTGGTACCTGTGATTCCAAAGTCTCGACTACAACGAGAATTACGAACGTGATAACGAGCATTCGTTCGTTGACATCACAAAAGTGACAACGACGAAGGCGTCTGATATCATAAAACTTCGAGAGAAAATTATGAAGAAAAATAAGCCCCTAAAACGATTGTCATTGAATTCACTTTCTCATGTATTACAATTCACTCATAAATTACCTAGATTTATTTGGCTTTTTTTTTTTTTTTAAAAGTAGCGCATTTTAGAGTACCTTATAGCGTCAGAGTTGGACACCATAAGGTACTCTAAAATATCTAAAATATGAAAATAACAAAAATATAAAAAATGTCTAAACTATCAGCTATATACACTATCTACATTATTCGGACTATTGCCCTCATCTTTGTTGCCATATTTATCACAACGTTCGGCCGTTGTACGCTCCGGCCTTCTTCAGGTGGTTAGATTGTCGAACTGAACCCTTTATTTCGCTCACTGGGGTAGACTGTTCTACTTTTACATGCCATGTCTAATGGATGTCAGTTATTAAGGACACATGGCACAGAGGATAAAGGCGTTAAGTAAATTCAGTAACGATATTCAGTCACCCCCCCACGAGGGTGTGATGTGGCACAAGGCCTTTTTAACGTGGGCATTCCGAGCCCGTGGGCTCGGCCAAAAATATGCCCATTGAACCCGTATAAACGGGTTCAGGGCCGGTTTTACCTCCCCGAAAGAGACTCCGCCCTTCGGCGTAGCCTCCTTCGGGTTCCTCCCGTCCGTAGGAAGAGAGTTTAACCGAACAGTCGTTCAGAAAATACTGACTCGACTGACTCAGTAAATCCAGTGATAGGACCCAAAGAGTGTGAGTTCAATACCTGGCTAAGGCGGTGGAGAACTTTTATAGGTGAATTAACAGGAAATAACTGATAACTGACATCCATTAGACATGGTACGTGGAACTAGAACAGTCTAACCCAGTGAGCGAAATAAAGGGTTCAGTTCGACATTCCAACCATCTGAAGGAGGCCGGAGCGTACAACGGCCGAAACGTCGTGATAAATATGGCAACAAAGATGAGGACAATAGTCCGAATAATGTAAATAGTGTGCATAATACCTCATCTCAGAAATATAGACAGATACTGAGGTGCTCCCTCTGGTGCAACTGATACTTTGCTTGAACCATCTTTCTATTTTAGTGTAATGGAGGAATATGAGCACTGGTAAAATATGGTTGCTGAAGACATTAGGTTTATAATACCCAGAAATTCATACAAAGATGTATTCAAGGACACATGGCACAGTGAATAAGGGCGTTAGTTAGATCCAGTGACAGGACCCAAAGAGTGTGAGTTCAATACCTGAGAGGGGAATTAACAAGAGATAACTAATTAGTCATGGCAGGAAATAAAGGTTTCAGTTTGAACCGGAGCGTACAACGTTGTGATAATGTAAATTCTTTACATAACACCTCATTTCAAAAATATAGAAACTGATTTCTTAGATCAATGATTAAAAAAGGGTTCGAGTGAACGAATCCGCTATGTAGACGATAATCTTTCATGAAACACAAAGAGCCTTACCAAACAATAAAACGAAACATCACTTGAAAACTTTCAACAGCAAAAACTTCCAAAAATGAGTAGAAGGGAAAATAATGCTATGGTGCTGACGTTCTACACTACGTTAAACAAAATGCTAGGAAGGAAACTCCCATCAATACTGGGTCGGAGGGGTTATAATTTTCAAAAAAACTGTTTTAAGATAAAGATCTTGTAAATTTCCACCTTAGGCGATCATGTATTTTCCCCCGCAATAGGTTGCCATTTTTTTCTGCGGTAGACCAGTTGCCATCTATAGAACCCGGTCTGTTCTGCTATCTGCCCATAGCTGGGGGGAGAAGAAGGGTATTAGCACGTAAGTGAATGTAATGGTTTCGAAAGGAATTCGAACTCGGCTCTCCGATTCTTTAATCCGAGCCGCTATCCATTACCCCAACCGATAGCCGTTTGGTCAATGAATGTCGAATGCTTCCTGTGTAGAAACGCCTTATCAATAATTGGCTGCAATGCACAGTGTAGGTTGCTTAGAGGTTGCATACAGGCATGCAAAATCAGATTTTTACAGATATATCGATTATATTCCATCCAATGAAAATAAAATAAATAGCGATAATCCTGTTAAGTGCTGACTAATTTATCACTTTTCATGAACCGGATATCTACGGGCGTGTGAATTGACACCCAGCAACATAAACTTATCAAAGAGAGACAAACTTGACCTATCGTATATTGCGATATTCAAGACATTATTTAAAGCTTCAAAAGTGTTTACTTCTTTTTCTTCCTTTTTTTTTACTTACTTTTCCCCCCTAGCAACCCAAGTCCGTCTCTATACATCGTATATAATCTGTAAATCTTTACCCCAGCCCGACAAAAAACAAAAAAAAAAACAAAAAAAAAAACAATGTGTCTATTTTTTTTTTTTTTTGTAGTAAAGTTCACCCTGTACAAGGCCCGGGAGTCACTCGGGGTAGAGGGTTACGTTAAGAGGCAGTTTCTACGGATAGGTGTGGGAGATAACGTTTAAATCTAGATTTGAACAGGTTAGGATTGTAGTGATCGGGGGAAACATCCTTTTCGGAGTCGGTATGTATATAAGCATGAGAAGCCACAGATGACTCACATAATTAAGCATATTTCAACCAGGGAGCGAGGCTCAGATTATTAAAAAAAAATAAATAAATAAAATGAAGCTTATAAGCACGAGAAGGCAAAGATGACTCCTATAATTAAGCATATTTTAAACTACGGAGAGAGATTAAGATTTTTTAAAATCAAAATGAAGCTTGCAAGCATAAGATGGCACAGGTGAGTCCAATAATTAAGTATATTTTAACCATGGAACGAGGTTTAGATTTAAAAAAAGAATTAAAATGAAGCCCGACAACCCCTCCCCAAAAAAAACAACGTGTCTAATTTTTTTTTTTTTTTGCAGTAAAGTTCACCCTGTACAAGGTCCGGGAGTCACTCGTAGTAGAGGGTTACGTTAAGAGGCAGTTTCTACGGATAGGTGTGGGAGATAGTGGTTAACTCTAGATTTGAACAGGTTAGGATTGTAGTGGTCGGGGAAACAACCTCTTGGGATTCGGTTCCACATGTAGTTCATGGAATGAAGTTGTTCACTTGGAACTAATTTCTCACTGATGGAATACCAAAGGGAATATGAATGGTTTGCTACAATATAAGTGTCATGGCGGATCCTATCCGTGATGGTTAGATTTAGCGGAACCAAAGAATGTAGTTCTTTCGAGCACTTTCCATGGTATTAGCAACTGAGCAGCGAACATCCCGGGTTTTGCTTTCCGTAATACGTGGCGCTGGGCTCGTTTTAATTATATTGGTTTCTCGTCAATTCGTTGTAATAATTTTTAATAGTTTCTTCTTTCGTCCTTCTCGATTGTGGAACTGTCTTCCATTTTTGCTTTCTTGTTAATTACGACCTTTCAAAAATTTAAATGCAATGTCAAAGGTCATCTTACGTCTCCTTGAATGAATCCTCTTCTTTTATTTTTCTATCACTCTTAGTAATCCCTTGCATCATAGTGACTTTTATTGTCTTGCTTGTGGTGAAATGATTTGAAAAAAAAATTGAATTTGAATGTGATTTGCATCAAACTGAGAATATGGCTTCTTGGAAGAATGATGTACACTCTTGGTTTTTTATAAGCTGTTCTAAGGTTGCAGATCCGGATGTGATGGCACACTCTAAGTAAGACACGATTGTGTTACTGTGTGTTAGAAAATATGTGAAAAAAAAGAACAAACCACTATCAAGGAGAGAGAAGAATACAAGAAGGTGCAATGTGTCCCTCTCTAGGAGGTTAGCATCAGCCATGCAGATAGAAGACAAAAGGGATTCTCTCAGACGATTAGAAGTGAGCAGTTTTGTTTTGGAAATTATAAAATCGACCTTTTCTAATACACGTGCTCAGCAATTCGTTTCAGTAAATGTTGCATGGTCATAATGCCCCACTAACTAAGACCGCTCAACTTCTAGAGAAGAGACTTGAACATATCCTTGCGTGTATTAGAAAGAGTCGACTTTATAATTTGAATAAAAAAAAAATTAAAAAAAACGCAGCAAATCAAAATGTAACAAAATATTTTCGAAATTTAAAATAGCGTGTTTATTTCTGGAATTAACAAATTAAAATTTATTGAAACAATTACAGTTGACCACTGATAACAATTCCAGAACAACGTAACAATAAACAATTTTTTTTCTATCCTTTGCCATCCGTAATG